AGTATTTGACATGTTGCTGTATGTCCTTTATATTCTTTCTTATACATACACATAATATATGTCTGTACACAGAGACACTATATTTTTTAATCATTTGAGACTTAAATATAACATTTATTTTATTTTATTTTTTTTAAAGATTAATTTATGTATTCATACAGAACTGGGGTACAGGCCAGAGAAGCGAGGGTGAGAGGATTCATCAGGAACAGAGTGGGGAGCCGAACAGGCAGATGGACCAAGTACACTGCTGAGGGGAGCAGCGGGCGGGTCAGGAGAGGTCTGCCGTGCCATGTGGATCTCCTCCAGGGCAGGCAGGGATCGAACTCATGTGGAATTGGCTTAAGCTTCTTAGTGCAGTGCTTTAACCCGCTGCACCACCAGGGAGGGCCTTACCATTTTTATTTTTTAAATAAACTTTCTAATGGCTTATAACAGAAATGCACAAATTACATGTACATCCTGGATAGTTTTCATATTCATAATCATATACCAGTATAATTGGAACCCAGAACAAAAAACAACTCCAAAGGTTCCGCATCATATGCTGTATTTATGAAAATTACTATTATTTACTTATGCTCACTTTAAAAAGTTTAACAGATGAAATCATGAAGCATCTTTAAGATTGGACCTCTTAGTTTAAAATTATGAAAATTGTGTTTAGGCATAATAGCAGTTTATCTCACTATAATGAAAATTATTTCAGATCTCTTGGTAATTTAGCCATATTTGGATTAATTATGCAATATGTTTTGAGCTTTTCTGACTTGCTGCTTGTTGTATAGTATATTTGATCTCCATACTCCTTTCACCATTTTAGTTCTTACCACTTACAATTACAAGACAGTCTTTGATGAGTATTTTTAAAGTAGTTTGTTACAATTGGAAAGTAGCTTGTACCAGCTCAGTTCACATTTGCCCAAGAGTCTAGCTGGTGCTGTTCTTCTGACACATGTTCTTCTGACATTGGGTTTGGGATGATTGCTGGCTTACAAAGTTGTGCTAGTGTTTTACATTTAAAACAGATGTCAAATTAATAAATTTTTCTTCTTTTAGTCCTGGTTTCCTGAGGTTTGTGAGGGTTTTATGTGGCATGTCTTCAGATGAAAGGAAAGCATTCCTACAGTTTACCACTGGTTGTTCAACATTACCCCCAGGGGGACTGGCTAACTTGCATCCCAGGCTCACAGTAGTACGCAAGGTAAAAAGCTCTTCAGCTAAGTAATTAAATACAATTTCATTACTTAAAGATTGAAAAAAATAAGAATTTAAAGCATGGTCTCCTGTTATTTTCACTTTTCTTTCTGTAGGTTGATGCTACTGATGCAAGCTACCCATCAGTGAATACATGTGTGCATTACCTTAAGTTGCCTGAATATTCTTCGGAAGAGATCATGAGAGAGCGCCTGCTAGCTGCTACAATGGAAAAAGGCTTTCATCTCAATTGAGTTTTAAAGTGCAATGGGAGACAACAGAGACTTTAAAAAATACTAGTGAAGCCTCTTGTGTTTGTTTGCAGAGAAGTATATGATCCTCCACGCTAATGACACTTGCCTTTTTTCCACCATTAAGGCTTTAAGAACATGTGGAATAAGTTTGTTAGCTGCTAATGAAAAAACCAATTCTTTAACTACCCAGCCAGCAAGTATATAGCACAGAACACTGTGTTGCTACAAGGGCTTATGTGACTGGAAATAGGTGGTCCTACTTGACTGTTCCAAAGAGCAGCTTCTCAGATCTTCAGTGTTCACTGGTAAATTTCTAACAGTGTATTTGTGTAAAGTTTGTCATTTCATACTTCATACACTACAGTTGCCATCACTGATCCCTGTCTGCTGGCTTTTAAGCTACTTGGTCAAAAATCCTACTCCTTTAAAACATAAAGTTAATGAGCATCTCAAGCTTTTTCTTTTAATTGATGCCTGCACTATCAGAGTATTCTAGTGTTCTCTCTTTTGTTTGGCATATAATCATGCACAATCTTTTTATTTCTTGAGGTGGGAGTATATTTTTATTTCCTAAATGCCATACTATAAAGATCAAATTCTTAAGTGTGTTTGTGCAGCTCAAAAGTAAAGCTATATTAAGGGAAACCAAAACATTGGTCTAGGTGCAAGGCACACTTAAAGCAAGTTTTACTTTGGTTGTATTTTCTTTGTATATTATAAACATTTATTTAACTTGTTGCAGTTTGACGTAAAAATTTTCCAAAATGTATGCTCAACAATAATCATTAAAATGTTTGCAGCGTACAAAATTGTGTCATGTGAATATTTCACTGCAACCATTAGACCTAAGAATTTAACCAGATGCTTTTCATTTTGAATCACTGAGATTTAAGTTTTTCAAATTACAACATGGAGAAATGTATTTTCCTACATTTACTAAAACTGGTAGGTTAGAAAAAAATGTATGTTCACATTCTTAATTTGTGACTCAACTGTTGTATTCACTCTTAAAAGTATTCTTCAGCTAGTAACAGCCACTTTATTTGTGTTAACTTTTTACACAATAGGTTCATTTCTTACTATTGTTATCTGTAGGGATGTGTAAATCCAGGACCTAAGAATGATTTTTGAATGTTGTATTAGTGTGCAAAGAAATTTCCAGGATGTTGATACTTCCTGATTTTGAAGAAGGGGCTCTATTTCTTTCCATTTTCCAGATTCCTGTGATTTCGCACATCTTGTGCATATAAGTGAAAGAAATGTTGCTAGACCTGGTTTGGCCAAATGGCTTTTTAGGAGTGAAAAGCATTTTTGTTTAAACTGCCCACTATTTACCTATTTAAAGGTATGATCCCTTTCTACATTAGAAGAAAAATGATCTCCCATTACAGTCAATCATTTGAGTACTGTTTTTATCCTCTGAGTAAGAATGTTGTGACTATGTAATTAGTGGCAGCATTTAAAGAACTTACCTTATTGTTAGCGTCACAGTTCTCTGTGAGAATTAATGTTAAAATAAAGCAGCAATATTTAAATGTATGACTTATGCTTTCATCTAAAAAACAATTGTGATTGTCTCAAGTCATGGCTGCATGACTAGAACTTTATATTAGTTAGAATTAAAATCTAGATGTGTACAGTATTGCCATTACTTAAAGTCTCTTAAAATGTCTGTCCGTGGCCACCTTTTACTAGCACAGCAATCAGCAAACTAGGGCCTGCTACCTGTTTTGACCCATGAGCAAATTGTGGTTTAAAACTTTTATTAAAGTGGTTGGAAAAGTAGAGAGTTTATGATAAAATTCCATGAAGTTAAAATTTTTGTTTCCATAAATAAAGTTTTATTAGAACACAGCCACGCTCTTAAATCATATATAATGTTGTAAACCATTACCTCAATAAAAAAAATACAATATAAAAAAGAACACAGCCATGCTCACTCATTTCTGTATTATAGATGGCTGTTTTCAAACTACAATGGCAAAATTTAGTAATTATAAGATACCGTATGGCCCACAAGCCTAAATATTCATCGGGCCCTTTTAGAAAATGTTTGCTGAATTCTTGTCTGGAATGTTGCTACCTCAGGTAAAATTAATGAGTCTTATAAAATCAGTGTCTGAAATGTAAGGAGTCTTCCTGAGAAAGAAAGGTCCAAGAACAGGTAAAGCTGATCAGTCTGAGACTCAAATTTCATGAATGTGAAAGTCACTGGTAATAAATCTAAAGTAAGATGATGACAGCCTTTAAGAACAGTTCCATTTATAGTTTACTTCTCATGAGTCAAGAGTTACGTGACATCTATTGGGGTCTCCACATATTCTGTGTTCTTGAGTATATATTTTCCTGTGTTATGTATCTAGATTTTTTTTTTTAAGTTGTTATTCTCTCAAGGTTCTAAAATCTGTGCCAGGATGTTATTCAAGTGCTATTTTGGTGTGACCCAAAAATTAATTTTGTTCACTCCCTAGTTACTTCTGGTGTACCAATTTCAGCAGTTACCTGAATGTGTTACTGATTAAGTGCCTACCAACTAGGACAGTGTTTCCCCAACTATTATGTCTCAGAAAGACCTCCAAAGCACTGTAATCTAGACTGGGCTTTCCCAAGACCCTGGCGACTTAGTGTTGTACCACTCATTATCCAGCAGGTCAGAGCCTTTCCTCTGCTTTCCTGAATGAGTTAAAAATAACTTAGGTTGGAGTGTACTATTGGTGAGTTACCTGGGTCTTTATAGATGCAAACTTTTTTTAGAAAACAGAATTTTAAATTGCACACATGAGCTATAGCAGGCATGTACATGCAAATACAGTACAAAATGAATCATCAGTATCTAGAATGTCCATTTATGTTGTCTTTTGCAGAATACTGTTATAGATGAATAAGCTCTTTGGCACAATATGTAAGTGTGCTAAGAATGCCTACATCCTCCATTGCCTAGGACAGTTTCTGTATATTGTAATGTTGACTGAGCAGCAAAAGTACATAGAAAGGTTTGGGTTGCATTGCCCTTTTATAATAACTTACAGTTTTCTGATGCAAGATGTTGCAGGAGAAGGGGTCTAGTAAGAAATCCTTTAAAATATGGTTTAAAGGCTAGTTGTAAGGGTTCTTGTTTAATATTTATTAGTCAACAGAAAGTATAAACTATGTGACAGCACTGTATAATTGCTCAGTACCAGTGGACTTCTGTACTGTACCAGCTCAGTACCCTGGACTTCAATCACTACTCTAAATCACTGCACCCCTTTGAATGATTATGGTCTCTGATCCAGTTCACCTGCTTCTTCTTGGTTGGGGCGCTCCAGACCAGGCAAACAAAGTCTGCTGTAGGACTTCATACTTACACACTCATTCTAAGCAAGCCATGCAAGCTCTTCCTCTCCTGGCCATGTTGTCTCTTGCTTTGTTAAACTGTCAGGCTTTTAGATACTGGCAAGTAAAACTTTTCAGTTTTTATAAGGTACACAAAAAGTTCAGACTTTTAAAGACTTAGTAAGGAAGAAAATAGCATTCAGAAAACTATTCAAAGTGCTGTATGTGTTTAAGTCAATTTTAAAATTTTATTAGGTGATAGAGTTCCCACAATTATCTTCTTACACCATGCTACTATTCTTGAATTTAAGTTTGCAAAGGAAAACAGAGACAACAGATATTCCCTTAGAACTCAGTAAAGTTCAGTCAAGTTGGGGAAAAATGCTTACTCTGGTTAGAAAATAAAACTTGTCTCTCAGCTTAGAGAAAAGGTTTCTTTATACATCATATTTTAAATACAGCTTTGTTTTTTATTTAGGCACTATGAAAAACACCTATTTTAATTCTGTGGAAGAATATCCTATTTTGCAGTGTGTGGTCTTCCAGACTCTTTGAGCTACAGAGTTGAGAGGTATTCCGTTGATGTTTTCATTTCCATTGATGTACTCATTTCCTATAAGTTGATTTTGTCTGGTAGGACCATCTGTTACTCAGCTTTCTGACATCTTATCAAGAATCAGCAGAGGAGCAAGAATTCTTGCCCGATTTGTTTCCACAATGCATCCATTTAAGACCATCTCATCCAAAATGATATGTACTTTATCTAAGTTAAACATTATCTGAGATCACGTTAAGAAAATAAGTTTGAGTTATAAAAATGTTAACAGTCATTAAGTAATATTTATAACTTAGCCTGGAAATTTCCCAGTGTAAATTAGTCTTAAGCATGAGGTTTTGCTTTGGTTTTTACAATATTAATGAAATTAAATTTAAAATTGGTGTCCATGTTAGAAATTGTTACTTTCATATACACACTTAATTTTGTCTTGGTTAATAAGCTAACTGGGTAACAGGTTCAGAAATGGAATGGCTGTGCCTTTTAGCCAGAGTAGGAGTGAATCTACTAAGAGCTGGAGAACAAAGCAGGTGACTGCTGTCAGGATCATGACCTGATCTCAACAACATTGTTAACAATAGTAAGAATATTGATTTACTGAATACTCATTATGTTCCAGACATTGTATTCAGTGCTTTACATAGATTATTTCAGTCTTCCCTACAATTCTTACGATGTACATGTTACCACTGTCCTAATACTACACATAAGCAAACAGAATTAGAATCCAAGGTCACTGCCACAGTTGGAATGAAAGCCCAAAGTGTGGGCTTGACTGCTTTCAGACTAGTCAGGAGGAGACTGAGGCCACTGAGTCCACTCTTAGGCCCTAAACCTCTACTAAAAACAAGACACCTTTACAACCATACATTGTAATCTAGCTTCTCTATCAACGTGCTGTAAGAAAAACTAAGGAAAAATGAAGATTGCAAGGCATGCTGATTCAGTACCCAATTAGATAAAAATTCTGAGTTTCAAGAGAATACATTTTCTAAATAGACATTCTAAAAATAATCATTTGAGATTTATGGAGCCAGTTTAACTTACTGATGTTCTTATTGGAAAGTACGTATAAAGCATGGGGCAAGAAGAAAATATTGTTCGATTACAATGTCTAGCTTAAAGCCAAATTCTTTATCAGGACTCCATTTGAGTAACTTTTGAATAGAAATGAACTGGAATGTGATGTTGACAGATTATTTCTACACTTTCAGCTTTCTATCTAGATTTAAAGAACATGATCTTGGAATTTTTTTAAAAGAAAAAAGCTGATTGTTTCAGACAGACAAGCGTCATTCAGCAAATGAGTGACTAGATGCACTAGGGGAATTCATAATTAGCTAATCTTTGTAAAGTGAATTGTTACCACTGGACTTTTTTTTTAATTCTAGATGTTCAGGTCTATATTGTATTTGTTTAGTGAAGTACATCTAAGAGAATGAGGCAACCGTGGTAAATGACTTTTAGTTTCTATTAGATTCTGTGATATCTCATTAAGCTCTGCGCAAATAGTCCTCAAGCAGAATAAACTTTTTCAGGAGCCCATGGGAACTGTCCTTAAGTGACCCAGAAAAAAATAAGCTTTATTCTCAGATGCCTATTAATAATATCTTCCAATTATATAGATGATTGCTTTGTCCATGGTCAAATTGGGACTGGAATAGTAAGCCCTTGATTCATTCCTGTTCACCAGACCCAGAAGCCAGAACTTTAGAAGCCAAGGCAGTGAGAATGAGAGCCAGGTATAAAGAAAGGCAGAGTTGGGGAGCAGTAATGGCTACATGAAAAATGGCCTGCAGTATACCCTGAAGGGCAATGAAAACGTCAAAAATGTTATCCAAGAAGATTTCTTTCAGGTAGGAAATTTAATTTTGATCTATTTAATTGGTTCAGGGATCAAGCTATTCTGAAGGCTAGCTCCAGTTTTGGCAAGTTGATGATCTGCAACTCAAAAGTTCACTGGAGTAAGTGGCCAATTATTCTGAAATTCAAATTAAAAGTATACTGCTGAATCATATTAACCATGTATAGCCTCACATTGTAAGGGCAAGGTCCTTCAGCAAGTCTGAATTTCCCAATATCCTGGAAACATGAGTTGGTGAGGTCATTCTGAACTATGGGCATGTGACTACTTGTCTGGGTATCTGGCTCAAACCCCTAATAATCACATAGTGCTCTGGCACTATATAGGGAAACCACAGACTAAATTCAATTGAGGCAAATGTTTGAAAGCTAATTTCCCTTTGGAATCATGTGACTTCTTCAAAATAAGAATCCAGTTGTTCACATCTTGATTTGGTTTGTGAGTAACTTGTACACACTGGTGAGGCTAACAATGGTATTTGGGCTATAGGCTAAGTGAGCAGGGACCAAGAAATACCCTTTATGCTAAGTCCCATGGCAATAAACATTGGCAAACCCACATGACACAGCCACCATGTCTTGCCAGCCTCACCTCCTGCTCCCTCCAGCAGTGTATTTCAATAGCTCCACCTGTTCTGCTCCCCACTCTGACTCTGGTGAATCCTCTCACCTCTCCACATCTTTGACCTACACCCCAGCTCTTGTATGCATATATATATATATATATAAAGCTCCAAAAGGATTAAATTAATAAGGACAGAAAAAGAATCAGCTGGAATAAATGTGAGCAGCCATTTTCACAGTGTACTGATACAGGTATAGGCCAGAGGTTTGGGAATGGCTTGAAAAGATTTACTAGAGACAGAGTGAGTAGCAGAACAGGTGGACTGACTGCAATACATTGCTAAGGGGTCAGAAAGGAGAGGTCTGCTGTGCCCTGTGGGTCAGCTCCCTGGCCAGGGATTGAACTTGTGCTGCAGTGGCTGCAGACTGCTTCATAGTGCTGAGGTTTAACCCCTTGTGCCACCAGGGACTGATAAGACATATGCATTCTAAGATTGGAGCTCGTATTAGTTCCAATGAAAATAGCTTCCCAAAGAACAGATCAACTAAAGCTCTACTTGCTTCCACATTGAAACCTAAGAGCCTTCCTGTGTTTCTACATATGTAGATGGGAGTCACATATAAAAGGGCCAAGTTGTATTAATGCCACTTGAAATCAATTTTTTAAGTGATTGAAATGTTTATAGATTCTAAATTGGAATTTATGACTTCTGTGTCATAAAAATGCTTTAAAAATGGTATTTTAACACCACTGTGGTGGACTAGTTCCTTTTAATAAGAGAAAACTGAACAGAAGCTATTTAAAGGGGATCCCAAAAGAAACTGCAGGATCCAAGCCTGGAGTCTAAAATTTTAAATGGCTTTGATCACTAATGCCCTTTTTAACCTTAAGATCCTTGCTAAGCACATTTCTTTAATACACTTAAGTAGGGTAGGAAAAAAAAATGCTCTCTTTTATTCCTTTTCCCGTGAATTAGATAAGTTGTTGAGGGCCAATGTGTTCACATTTTTTCACAAAAAATTGAGTAGTGCTATATAGAAGGCTTTTGGGAAGAGTCTGCATGGTTCTGAGTAACTTAGTCTCCTTGTCAGAGAGTCTTCTTCACTATTAGATTCTTACTAATTTACCTTTTCAATTAATTGAAAGGAATATACTTCAGTTTTGTTTTTAAAGTACATTTTCCTTAAACATCTATTCATATTCTGAGAGCAAAATCTAGGTGTAATTTTGTTTAAAGTTTATATAGGTTTATGAAAAATAACAAATATGAAAGTCAGGGTAGGATTAAGTGAGCCTGTCTTTTCACTTCCCTCTCCTGACTCTTGCTTCACAAAACTTGCTGTTACTATTCCTGCGTGAAATAGAACCCAGAAGCATGGAAAAGAAGTGGGGGACTTGGTGGGGAGGCACAGTAGTGGATGGATATGGTACCTCAGGAAGGGACACTGAGAATACACTTTGTCAGAGAGATGGCTAAGGAAGCCACAAAAACCTAGAAAGTACAACTATTTAATCTGGAATGTTCACATCCCTTTGCCCTTCCTTGGGGTCTGCTCAGTTCTGAGACTCAACAAGCACTGGCTGGAACTCTCATGCCGGAAAGGCTCCTAGTCCCCTTGTCTCCCAGTGCCCGCCTTTTCCAAATACCTACCTAGCTGCAACACTTTACCTCCAGCCCGTCTACCAGCTCTTACCTCTTGCTGTCCTGCTTCCAATTTATCTATTTCCAAAAGGAAAAAAGATACTTTGAGGGCCTCCCTGCGGTACAAGCACAGCACTATAAAGCTACCCACAGCCTGCAGCACAAGTTTGATCCTTGTGACACAGCAGACGCTCCTGTCCTGCCTGCTGCTCCCTTCAGCAAAGTTTTGCACTTACTCTGCCTGTTCTGTTCCCCACTGTCTCTGGGGATCCTCTCAACCCCCCACCTTTGGCCTGTACCCCAGTTCTTGTACACATAAATAACTCTTTTTAAAAAGAAATACATAGCAATCTCTGAGTGTAAACTCTTACTTTTGGAGCATATGTTCTTATCAAGATATCCAGATCCAAGCATTTTTAAACACTTCAAGCAAAGACTGGTATTTTTCTAAAACTTCTTCCCTAATTCAAGGAAATATTCTGACACCACAATTACTTTATGAAAGTTTTGTAAAAGGACTAAATCACCACAATACACTCCAGATGATTATGATTTTTTTAGTGCCAAATGTGATGTTATATCTAATTTATAACTGTAGAGTTGAGTCCTAGAATAACCCAGGGATTGGTACCAGCTCTGCCTCAAAGTAGCTCTATGGATTGGACATGTTACAGCCTCTTCATAGAAGAAGTGAAATTTTACCCTGTAAAATTTACCCTGACTGTACAGCACCAAAATACTCAAATCTAAATTATGTAACCTTTAGGAAAGGGGGGAGCAGATTTACTCTTTGTTGATATCAGTGGTACCTGATATAATCATGCTCCATCATACCTCAAAAGAAATCCTTCTGTAATGACTTCACTATTGTATCTTTCTGAGAACAGTGAGTAAATTTCAGTTCATTTAGAAGCTGCCACCTCAGAACTGGATGACTTCCCTGGAGAATTTCTTTCTTCACCTTGCCAGTATTTCCATAGTCCTTCATTGAACAAGTAGTTTTGTGATTTCTCATTAAGTCAGGCTGAAATTATCTTCTACTTGGAGAAGCTGTGTTCTGGTTTCTGGTTCTCTATAAGAGTTTGGGATTTTAGGAAGATAAGGAAGGAAGGAGAGATAGATAATTCACCAGGAGCCCTGCAAATTTTGGTGGTGCCGATTACTATTACCTGGTGCCTTTATTCCTCTAGGAAGCACCATGGAGGTTCCGCAACCTCCTACACTCAATTGCAACAAAAAGAGTATGAATCAGGATGATTCACGTCACCCACATGAGCTTTCATGTTCTAGAATCAGTCCACCCAGGCTTTTGAGTTTAAGGACTTTTTAAAAATGAGCATTCTAAAGATGTTTGTTTTTACATATTTTTTGAATCAAAAACATTCTGGATTCTAGACCATTCTATATTTGTAGGGTTGGGAGCATAAGAACATAAATAGGGAACCAGGCCTGCTCCCCTCATGTATATATTTAGATATCACAGTTAGCTTTCTAGCCACTCATTTCTAGGCCTGTATAAGCCCTAGCAGTAGGATATGGGGCATCTGGGTATCAGTAAATCCTGGGAGTGATGAAGAAGTGGACGAGGGGGCCCCTGTAAGTGCTGGGTATAATAAGGTGTTGCTGAAGGAGAGTTAGAGTAGGGACCTTCTAAATTATAAGGCTCAGGAATGGGGCTCTGGTTGTCCAGATCTAAAGACAGCAATACTATATTCGCTCTATTCAAAATTAGCCAACTATTTATAGTTATTTAAAGGCACAAAAATACCAAAAAGCTGTTAATATTTTCTGTATTAATACATACAGTAGTTGTGCACTGGAATGAGGAGGAATTAGACATTCTCCACACAGTGTTCAATGGTGCCATTCTCCAACTATTAGGCAGAAGAGGATGAAGGCAGCTTCTCTGAATTATGAATTGTCTGGAGAATTCAGCAAACCTGGAACTCCCAAGCAGAGCACATTTTGGGAAGCTCATCAACTGGTTCCTAAAAACTGTCTAATTCATGGAATTGAGTTCTTAAGTCTACTAAGGTTTGTGATAGGGCAAACTTCCCTATAGAAACTATATGGAATGTGAAGAGTATACAGCAGCTTATTCAAGGCACATGAATGATTTAGGTCAATGATGTGCCTGGTCCTAAGGGTACAGTCTGCTTGGCACCACTGCACCACAGTTTCTACTTAGAAGTGTTTTCAACAAGCCAAAATTTCTGTCCTGATTTTGTGTGCTTAAATTTCTTTTTTAAATCCCATCTGTCTGGTTTTGTGATCTTAGTCTCAGTAGAAGTAGAACAAGCCTATATATACTAGGGAGAAATATAAATGGTGCACTTTATTTCTCAAAGTCTATTCATGCAGGCTCTGGAAACCTGCCCCATTCTTAAAAGATTTTATGATTGTAAAGCTTCTGGGGGGTAAAAACAAAAAAAAAACTGCAAGGGCTTCTTTGTGTGACTTCCATGGAATTTTGACTTCTGTTCTCTTAGTTCTTCAAACTGAGCCTTAGGTTGCATATTCCTCGAGGGCTGGCTGACAAGGAAGGTTTCCTAAGCCTCAGCAAATAGAGATGATGATGTGATGATGTGTTCTGAGTGTTTGGAGAACCAGATCCAGGTTGTAATTCTCTATCAGCTGCCTCTTAACACTTCAAAGCTGAAGGAAGCTTTCGTGGCAGAGCAGTCCGGGAATAATGTTAACTAGCCTAGCAGGTTCCTGGTTTCATGTTTTCAGAGTGGTAATTAAGAGAAAGGAAACTGAGGCTGCACCTGTGAAAGGCCCCCATGTTTCTATTATCTAATTAGTCAATAGAGATCTTGGACATGAAAAGTTAAAAAGAACTATGTATGAGACAAAGTAGTTACGGTTTTAAATTTGATTCTCCCCTAGATGGCTGAGGGTAGAAACTCTTTAAGAATGTTAGTAAAAGAGGGTGCCCCATGGTCTGCTACTTGCTCCACTGGAAGTCCACATGAAATTATACCCAAAGCAAAAATACATATTTCCAAGTCTGGAGATAGTTAATTCCCTTTTCTAATGATGCAAAATTCCTAATCTTTGGATATGTCCTTTGGATAGTCAAATATTTCCAGAGGACAATAAATACAGAACTTGGCCAGAGAGGAAGGGAAGCAAAAAAATTTTACTGCTGGTATTGATAAAAGGTGGAGAAAGATACACGTAATGTGCCTTGGAATGAAAATTAAATTCAAACAGAAATGCTGGAATTCATTACGTGAATCTATGCTACACACCAGAAGGAACAAAAATAAACTGGTTTCTAATAAACTTCTAGTTAAGACACATCAAAATGACTAGTCCAACTAGACTACCTCTTATATCTTATTCACTTTAATTTTCTGAATGGTAAATTCCTCCTGTTCTGGGTGTTACCTAGAGTCACTGCAACACCAAATATTAAGACTGAGAAGGTGCCAGAGTGTTTCTAATCTAATTCTGTCATTTTGAAGTGAGGGTATTGTGTGTCTACCCAATACACATAACTAGTTGGTGGCAGGACCAAAAACTGAATTTGGCTTTCAGTCCTCTAGTGAGGTGTCTATTAGCTTTGCCATCTTCCTAGGGGTTTTTTAAATGAAAAGCACCATTCTTAATCTCCTGTACAAGAAGAAAAGATTTATTTGAATTGCTTTATGGGGCTTGGTTAAAATGGACTGTTACACGCTGAGTTCATTCTAGTCTTGGATCTAGTCAAATATAGCCTAGATCAAAAGGATCACAGATTTAGATAACTCATCATCACTAGAGGGTACTCACATTTCTTCAGGTAAAGAGGCATCTAAATACAGCCTGCAAATGAAATTTATCAACAGGGATGACTACTCTCTAGTAAAAGGTAAATGGCCATTCTGGACAAGGTGTCTTTTTTATATGTGTGTGTGTATACAAGTTATATGTACTACGTACACGTTATATACATATATATATATATAGACACACACACACGAATATGTTATATAAACACACATATATTTGTTATGATCAACATTACTATTTTAGATTCAACCTTGATGTGTTCTCAAAGGACTATTTATTGCTTTGAAATGGTAAGCAGATTTTTAAAGTAAAACATTAACTTAAAAGTCAACATGCCTCCAGAGCACTCATACAAGGCCCAGTGGGCTCCTGCCAAAATCCACAGGCCTGAAGTATTCTAAGCAAATCACGCTTGTTGGGACCTTTAAGTATTTTTATTTAAAAGGGAAAAGAAAGAAAGGGAGAGCTTTCTCTGCTATAAAAAAGGAATGAATACAATCCAGGAAATTCCTTTATCATCCTTGAAGGTCTTATTCTGATCATGTGAGAGATTTCTGAAGATTTTATACCTGGAGACATGAAAATCTAGCCTTTCTAGGAGGACCATATACTTTCTGGTTGTGTTATTTAAATTCTGAAAAAAAGTATATATGCTTGAAAGGAATTAAGTTAATATATACTAGCATTAACTACGTCCCTATATGAGAAAAAAAAAAAAAACTTAGAGTGGTCTTTATAAAAGAATACGGGGGAGGGAGTTCTGAAAAAACCTCCTGCTTGTTGATGATTTGCATTCTGAATTTTGCTGCTGCATCTCCTTGCCCATTGACACTTACCTGATCCACTAGCCTGTGCTTTGCCAAGTACTGTGGAAAACTTGGCTCACAGTATTTAAAAAGGATACATCTAATTCACTCTGGAAAAGAGAAAAAAGAGTGAAGGATGAGAAGGAGACACTGGAACACAATGCAACCAGCAGGGTGTACATCTGCTCTGGCAGCAGGCTAGGAAGCCCTTGGGAGAGGGCCCCCTCGGGAGTGGAGAGACCTGCTTTGGGAATTGTGATATAACAAAACAAAAAAGGACTATAGTTTAGAGGAATTTCACAGACCAGAAATTCTTTAGAATATAGTATAACTCATGGGGAAGTAATGTAGTCACTACAGTTAATAAAGCTGCACTGTATATTTGAAATTTGCCAAGAGCAAACCTTAAAAGTTTTCACCAGGGGCCTCCCTGGTGGTGCAGGGGTTTAAAGAGTGCTATCAAGCTACTGCCTGCCACTACAGCAGGAGTTCGACTCCCAGCCAGCCAGGGAGCTAACCTGCATGGCACAGCAGATCTCTCCTGTCTTGTCCCCTGCTCCCCTTAGCAGTGCATTTCAGTAGGTCTGCCTGTTCTGCTCCCCAGTCTATTTCTGGTGAAACTTCTCACTCGCCCCTCAACTCTGGCTTGCACCCCAGTTCTTGTATGCATACATAAATAAATCTTAAAGTTCTCATCACAAGAAAAAATTTTTTAATTATGTAGTGATGAATGTTAACCAGACTTATTGTGACAATTATTTCACAAAATATACAAATAGCGAATAATTATGTTGCACAACTAGCACTAGTATATGTCAATTGTACCTCAGTTTAAGAAAAGGATACTGAGGTAATAAACTAACTCAGGCCCTCCCTGGTGGTACAACAGGTTAAAGTGCAGCACTGAGAAGCTGGCCAGGCCACTTCTGTGCTAGTTTGATCCCCACCCTGGAGGTGACCCACATGGCCCTGGAGGTGACCCACATGGCATAGCAGACCTCTCCTGTCTCGCCTGCTGCTCCCTTTTGCAATGTACTTCGTCAACCTGCCTGTTCTGCTCCCTGCTCTGACTGGTGAATTCTCTCACAGCCCCTCCACCTCTGGCCTGTATCCCAGTTTTGTATGAATAAATAAATCCTTAAAAAAAAAAAAAATAAACCTTCACAAATGGGCAATTTGATATGTGTACTAAAAACCTTAATAAAGTGCATACTTTGCGTCCAATTATTTTTAGAAGTGTGTCCTAAAGAAATACACAATAGACACAGTGATATGTAATTATATATAAGTCTCTCAGGGAGGGGTGAGTTAAATAATTACGGTATATCCACAATAATCATGTAAATACACATAATTACCAACATATTCTTAAATATAAAAGCAAGTCATAAAATGGCATATACAGTATTATTCCATATCTATGGAAAATATACATACATTTATATATATATAGAGAGAGTAAATTAGGTAAGAACATAAAGGTCTAAAAGGAAATGTAACTAACACTGTATATCAATAAATTATGGGCTTAGTGATCTTAGCGGTCTTCTACCAATTTGTTTTTTGCTCATAAAAATTTTAATTTTTCCCAATAAACATAGATAGTTGTGTCATGAAAAAGTCATAATGGGACAAAATAGTAAACAAAATTAATTAAATCCACACTGGAAAGGACTTAAGGTCTATTAGACACAGCACTGAAAGCCTGGGCCCTCCCTGGTGGCACAGTGGGTTAGGGTTAGGACACAACACTGCAGCTCTCTGCAGCTGCTTCAATGCAAATTCAATTCCTGGCCCCAGAAGTGATCCACATGGCACAGCAGACCTCTCCTGTCTCACCTGCCTCTCCCCTTAGCAATGTACCTTTTGATCTGCCTGTTCAGCTCCCCATTCTGTCTCTGATGAATACTTTGCCACTCCTGAACCTCTGGCCTGTACCCCAGCCCTGTATGCATAAATAAATAAATCTTTAAAAGAAAAAAAAACACCTGGATTCCCCTTCCTCAACAACAACAGCTGTCATTCTTGCAAAACTGCCCCCTTTGAAGGTAGACTTATTTTGAAATGTGATGGTAAGATGCTTCTTTCAGCCTAAACAGCGTGAAGCTCATCTCCAAATTTAAGATTTGAAAATTCTGTGATTAAAAATAGCTTCAGAAAGAATGTTTCAAACTCACAAACCTAAAAATAAATCCTAAATGACAAGGCATTCTCCATGAGGGGGACATCTATTTTCTTTCCCATAGTACTCTTTTTTTCCTATTGTCATCCCAAACCCAGTGATTCTTTCGTGTTGTCCGAGTCCTGTATAATCACCTGGCTTAAATTAAATTCTAATCTTTACTTTTGTGGTTTGTGTGGTCACTGACTCTCCCCCTAGAATTATAGCTAGAATTTTGCAACCTGCTATTTATTCTCAGTTACCAACTGTAATAATAATAATTTAAAAAAAAACCTTGACAAAGATAGTGCTTATACTGACTTTTTATTCTCCCAGATTTAAAACACTACTATTTGGGGAAATTCTTCTTTTTTTTTAAGATTTATTTATTTGTGCATACAGAACTGGGGTACAGGCCAGAGGCTCAGAGAGGCTTCACCACAAACAGAGTGGGAAACAGAACAGGCAGATTTACGAAGTACATTGCTGAGGGGAGCAGCGGGCAGGTCAGGAGAGGTCTGCCACACCATGTGGTCACCTCCGGGGCAGGCGGGCATCGAACCCATAAAGAAGCGGCTTTAGATTCTCAGTGCTGTGCTTTAACCTGCTGCGCCACCAGGGAGGGCCGGAAATTCTTCTTTAAGGTGTTGACTTAAAATGGCTAATCAGGACCAGGTCTGAATCACCTATTGCAACCAGTTCACTTTAAGAGTACCAGAACTATGTTTTCCAATATAACACCAGCTTCATGTAGTTAAATTTAAATTAAGTAAGATTAAAACTTCCTCAACTACACATATCAGATTTCCAGTGTTCAAGAGCCATGGATAGTGTGGATAGTGCTTACCACTCTGAATGGGGGTATAGGCCAGAGGTTCAGGGGTGGTGGTGAGAGGCTTCACCAGAGACAGCGGGGAGTAGAACAGGACAGGAGAGGTCTCCTGCACCATGTGGGTCACCTCCGGGGCCGGGGATTGAACTCACACTGAAGCGGCTGCTGCTAGCTTGCAGTGCTGCCCCTTAACCTGCTGCACCAGCAGGGAGGGCCCACAGAACATTTCTATTACTGTACAAAGTTCTACTGTACAGCCCTGGGCTCTGGTGCTCTCTCCAAGCAATCAACACAAGATGGATTTTAAAGCCAGCCTTACTTTCCTCTGTCTCCTCAATGCCTGTCTCTAGAATTACCTTCTCTCTTGCCTTCATTCAGCTTTGGAGGACACCAGTTTTGTCCAGTTGGATGCCCTGCCATTTGCAGATCACTTGACAGTTTCCCGGTTCCAAATTGGGAAAGGCTGACAAGTCTCATACATTAAGACAATGGCTCTAATGTTAAGTATACATGAGAATCACCTGGAAGGTTTAAAATCTTCCTCAATCCAGAGTTTGATTCAGTAGTCTAAATTGGCCCAGAATTTGTATTTTAAACAAGTCTCCAGGTGATGCTTACGCTGTCCGTCTAGAAATTAGACTCTGAAGACTACTGCACTACTGCAGGCTAGCTGAGTGTTCCATGAAGGAGTTTGCCAAACTTCATTTCCAGCAAGAGTTAGGCATAAGTTATAATTTTTTTAAAAAGATTTATTTTTTTATGCATATAAGAGCTGGGGTAAAGGACAGAAGTGTGGGGGATGAGCGGATTTACCAGAGACAGAGTGGAAAATAGACAGGCAGACTGACTGAATATAAACTGAGGGCAGCAGCGAGCGAGGCAGGAAAGGTTTGCTGTGCCATGTTGTTCATCTCTCTGGCTGGGGATTGAACTTATGCTGCAGTGGCTGCAGATAGCTTCATTGTACTGCAGTTGAGCCCCTTGTACCACCAGGGAGGCCCCGGAAGTGATGTTCTTGATAAAAACCCATATCTGGGAAACTGGGTTATAGACAAAAACATATTTTTTAGTCATTAGACTTACCACTCGACTGAAGTAGTCATCTAAAACTTCTACAAAATTATGGATGAATTCATAAACTGCCATCTCATTCTGAAATTAAAAAGAAGGGTGTAATTTGTTTTAATATGCTTTATGTAAATATAAATCAGAGCTGCCCAGTCAGGAAATAGGTGTTATCTGTTACTGAACAGATAAAATGAGCAAAGCAGCTTCCTACTGACAAATACAATAATTGTATTCTCCGTTATTTAAACGAAGCTTATCAGTAGGGGAAATGTAAGAAAACATAACTTCTAAGATTTTTAGAAAGTCCATGATGAAATAGCTAGATGAAATTAGATTGAGTCTGTACCCTACTCCCTAACTTTATTATCAATTGGCTAAAACAATTTCTTAAGTCCTTCACATCATCACTTTTCTGTTTGTGAAGACAGAAAAACCACTTTAAAGTTTGGTTCCTGGAAAAAAACACAATCAGTTGAGATTTCAAAGTTATTTTCAAACTTAAACACCCTTTTAGGGATTCCATGATAGTAAGTCCTGTTGATCTGAGACTGACATTTCTGAAGAGATGTGATCACAACACAATCATGTTGTGGCAGCCTATGTTTAATGGCACAGCTGCTTGGCCCCTACGCTTCTCCAAACTGCTCCACTGTGCCACAGAACAAAGACAGGACCCTGGCATTGCTTATGGCCAAAAAGGCAACTTGTGGTTTGTGTTTCTCCACAAATTACTCATCCAATCCAAGAAACTTCCTAGCAATTTCTCTTCTACACAGCTTTCCCCAATTATGTCAGAAATCAATATTCTTCAAAAATTTCAACATAATTCTTAGGGAGGCAAACAGGAAGAAAATGGCAAATTAAGGAGAAATAAAATTCAGATAATTCCTAATTTTCTAGTCATTTATTATCTTACCTCAGAGTCATTAACACCAACCACAATGAAGAGAGCTGCATACTGTCGGTAAATCAGCTTAAAATCCTTATATTCTATGAAAGAGCACTAAACAAAACACAATTAGACATTAATTCCTATGGCTGATGGAAATTTTTTCAAAATAGAATGCATCGCTGCTGGATTCTGAGTTGACAATCTGTTAACACATTCCTTGAAATATACATAAAAATGTCACACAGTATTTATTGGCCTGTCCTTAAAAGACTCAAGGGACAATTTGGAGGCCTCTCTAGTGGGAGGTGGAGAAGCATTCTGGGGGGAAGTCTGAGTGTTCACATGGGTTTCACTTCTAGTCCTCAATCTAAATTGAATCAGCAGGCAGCGCTCCTGGATAAAGCATTTTATATTGCCTTTAACATGGAAATAAGCAAATAGGATAAAGGTTTTCTTTTTATCACCTCTTCTAGGTTCTTGGAAGCAATTAGAGTAAGTTCTGTACTGTCTAACAGTTGCTGAAGAGTCATATATTGTATATATATGCAAAAAGTTAAGATTTTAATTTTTGTCTTAGGCCCTTGAAAAGAATTTGTAGACCATTCATCATGTAAATTATTTAAAGATGACTTTTGTGAGGCAGGTAATAGAAAAAAATCTCCTACTGTAAACAGTGCTTAATATAAATTAACAACTAGTTTACCATCACTGACTTGTGGTTAAAGCAACTCCCTTCCCACTCAACTGTCTCCAAAAGCCATCCTACAGATGGACATAAAAAGGTATGAAGACCAGGAGTTGGACAGTAGGCTGAAGGCAGTGCTGTTCCTTCTTTTGGACTTTTCAGTGTGACTGACAAAATGTGAGTGAGCATGAGCTTCATGGCATTTTGTGCGGGGCTATGTTAATCTCAGGTACCTGGATGTACTAGGGATGAATCTCAAGTTTTGATTATGCAAATTCTTCCATGGGAAAGTCTCATGACAATATAAAAGATACAGGAATTTGAGAGTCTTATTTTAAATTAGGATAAAGATAACAAGTAAAGGACCATTCTGTAGCTTTTGGCTAACTGCAGAGCCACTGTGATTTCTATTCTGTTAGATCTTTCAAGGAAAGGCTACCTATTTGAAAGAACTGAGGAACATTTTTCAAAGCCTCTCAGGAGCTTCTGACATAAAAAAAAATTTTCAAAGTATCTTTGTGGATAAAATAAAAGCGCAGGTGAGACTGTGTTACTTTGGTGCCTGATTATGCCAAAACCTGATGGATTCCTTTGAAAATCTACAGTAATTTAGAAAGCTTTAAAATATTGTTCAGTTTATTCATTAAAAAACATATTTTGGGCCCTCCCCGGTGGTGCAGCGGGTTAAAGCACTGCACTAAGAAGCTTAAGCCACTTTCGCATGAGTTCGATCCCTGCCTGCCCCAGAGGTGACCACATGGCACGGCAGACCTCTCCTGACCCGCCCGCTGCTCCCCTCAAAAGTGTACTTCGTCGATCTGCCTGTTCTGCTCCCCACTCTGTCTCTGTCCTCTCACCCTCCACATCTCTGGCCTGTACCCCACTTCTGTACGAATAAATAAATAAATCTTTAAAAAAGAAAAACATTTCAAAGTGTTAACTTCTTAGTGAACATGGTGTTTGAAATTGTGGAGTGTCTGCATTCTGCCAAGAGACTCAAATAGAAATGCTTTTGGAGTGTGTTTATCATGACTTAAAGTACATGGCTATTAACAAGACCTTTAATAATTTCTATTTCCTTTTGACAACTGCATGAAGCAGTATGTGCCATGGCAGGCCAAAATAGTGATTCAAAGATGACTCTTGAGAGGTTCCAACTGGAAAATCAAGTTGGAAGCCAAAAGAAACAGTTCCAACACATAACTTCTGAGCACTGATGTAGCTTTATATTTTATGATTTAGCAGCGGTTCCCAGAGTCTTTCCTACATAAGCAGTGGAATGGAAATTGGCAAAATTAAGTGATCCAAACATGTTTTCTGATTCTGCCTCAGTTTGTTCAATCATTTCTAAATGATTTGAGCTTTATGAGTTGGATTAAGTTATTCTCTGATGAAAAGTCTTTGTAAAATAAATCTCAGTTTTAAAAATTCCTGTGTATTATGAATGATTTTATTTAACCTCAAGTTTTGGCAGAATGGATAGATTCATTGTTTCATATGAATTTTTAACTTCCATTTCTCTTAGCTACATGATGAAATAAGACTAGACTAGTTAGTTTTGTTTTTAATTTCCTAGTTCCAGTATTGTGTTGGTGGGTAAATTTACAAAAATGATAAGGAGCAAATACTATGCTTCATGCCAGAATCCTATTATTATGCTGTGGCACAGACTGGTTCTTTTGCATCTACCTTTATCCCAGTGGCCTGGCCTTCATCTTTTGCCTTAAAGAAAGCTACCTGCTAATGGACACACATTAAAAAGTTCCAAGGACTGGGCCTCCCTCGTGTCACAAGGGGTTGAGTCTAAGTACTAAAAAGCTAGCCACAGCCATTGTGGCATGAATTTGGTCCTCAGCCAGGGAGGTGACCCACATGACACAGCCAGCATGTCTTGCCAGTCTCACCCCCTGCTCCCTCCAGCAGTGTATTTCAATAGCTCCACCTGTTCTGCTCCCCACTCTGACTCTGGTAAATACTCGCACCTCTCCACATCTCTGAGCTACACCCCAGCTCTTGTATGCATATATATATATATATATATATATATAAAAGCTCCAAGGATTAAATTAATAAGGACAGAAAAAGAAAATCAGCTGGAATAAATGTGAGCAACCATTTTCACAGTGTACTGATACAGTGTTGCTGATCTAAAGAAGAAACCAAGACCTTTCCAGGTTTTTCTTGTTTATGTTTTCCTCATAGAAAGGTAGGGAGAGCTATGCTTCAGTCTTCTTTTTACTTGTTACTTTCTCAAATTGCAGTTGAGAGAATGTAGTTCAAAGAAAACAATGCTCTTTGAGACTTAGTAATAACAGATTTGCCGCTACTGAGTGACTACAGAAATAAAAGAATCACAACTCACTTGTTCATTGGATCGAGAAAGACAGCTCTTTATGACTTCAGTTTCCAGAAGTGTTCGCTTATTAATCTCCACATGTTCATAGTATTTAGACAGTCGGGTCTGCCCTTGTTTATTCACCATGAGGAAAAATTTTATCATTTTTTTCCTGACCAGTATTTTCCCAATGCAGTCGAAAAGCTATAGCAAGGGGGGAGAAGGGGTGGTTGTAACTCGAATCTGAAGGATAAAAGAACAAAAAAGGGCAAGATTAAATTTTTCAAAGGTTCATGCTAAATATATTCTAGAGATGTACCAGAAACAAACTCTTCAGTTAATATAGACCACCCGTCTTATGAACTAAATAGGATTTTAACATCTAAACATAAATTTTCATTTGTTTTCTTTCAAATATTTTTTGAGTTCTACAGTACTTCCACTCATATTTGTTCAACTGATTCATCAATCTTTATAGGTACCAAAAGGGGAATATGTAGATGAAGAAATAATGACTTCTGCTCTTACTCATGTGCTAGACAGGTAAAAAACACTCAAATTATAACTGGAACAGGTATATGCGTCTGGGTGCACAGAAAGAATAGACAATGGTAATGGCTGCCCTGAGGAGGTGCATTTAACCAACATCTTGGAGAATAATCTAAAGAAGAAACCTTGGCCAAGAAAGCAGGAATATGAAAGCTCTCGGAAATAACTGTCATGTTCAATTGTAGGGTTAGGAAGATTGGTGTGAGGGCCTAGAACAACTCAATGAAGACGAAATTAGCTTTAGATGGCATGCTAAGGAATATGAACTTCATTTTATGAGCAATGGAAATAAGATCTACATAAAGTTTTCTTTCTGTTGGAAGCAGCAGTAACAATATCAAGTATTTGCCAAAGTTCTCTAGTAAGGCCCTCTAACAAAGGCTGTAAGATCTTATGCTAGAAATACATTCATACATACACATATATAAATTTAATTTTCACACTTCTTTGGTGCGGGCACTTCTATTATCCACATTTCAATAGAAGCAAATTGAAATTTAGGGAAGTAAAGACACTCAAAGTCCTTGGATCACTTTGTGTGAGGGTGAGATGCAACTCAGAGGACCGGCACATGCACTGATCCATGATACCCCATCACTTTTCTTCATCATTCAAGGGTCCATCCTTCTGATTTTATAATCATTCAGCTGTACTGGATTTCTTGATTGTTCCACTTACAATTAATATTGATTTTTAAATAATCAGTGCAAAAGAGTACAATTTTTGACCAGTGGCTGTTCCTTTCATATGAGAATCAGAGCTATAACTGGCTCAGGTGACAATATATTCACATGTTGTAACATATGTAAGAACTAGTGTAAAGGACCAAGATTAACAATAGTTCTTAAATGAACTTTTGAATTGGAATAATTTTACAGAAAAGTTGCAACAGATTATCAGATAATATTAGGACTAAGTTTGATATTCTATGTTTGCCTCCCAACTCATCTCTGATTTCCTCAACCTTGTCAGACAGGTGGTGATCTCACACAGTTACAAAAAACTAAACAGCTAGAAAGAGGCAGGCCCGTCTGGCAGCCCTAGGGCTGCTGCCTTCATTCAGTGTGCAGAACAGGATGTTATCTAGATGAGTTCAGCTGGGGATATGACAGCTGTGCCATGGGGGAGGCCTGCGGTCATTCACTCCCTTTTCCAGGAAGACAAAGTCAGTACTGTAGGTGGGGTTGCAACATAGTCTGTGTTGGTTCAATCATTTGGTATAAAGTGCTGCTGTTATTCTTACACATTATTGCCAGTATATCACACCAGGTGACGAGTAAATTAAGAACGCCACCAAATTATTTAAGACTATCTTTATGAAATTAGAGAGTAAGACCCCACAGCCTGGATTCCAAATACCAGATAAAATAAAAAAATGTTGCCTTGAAGGTTTTCATGGACAAACTTTCACCTTTAAATGCCCTGGCTGCATGAAGTGGTAAAATGAGATGTAAAAAGATCCGTTGAGATGTTACACCAAGGGATCAAATTGGTTTCCACCTTACAAACCCAGCATCCCTCCCCCCAACTTCAAGAGCAAGGATGACAGATAAGGACATGTCGAATTGATAATAATTAGGATGCAGAACTTGAAAATGGTAGCTGAAGGCATCTAAAAACTTGAATACACCCCTCTTTTTTTGATACTCAAAAATAGTTACACAATTTATAGCTGTAGGGTTACATAATGGTAATAAAATGTACAAACAGAACTGTAAAGCACTTTTATAAAATAAACAAAGCCAAAGTAGACAATGTGAAGACTCAGAAACTAGTATACATTTGACAACTGAAGATAAATGCTTTAAATACCCCACCCCAATTGCCAACATCAGGGAGGAAGCAGATGAAATAGCTATGAAACTGAAGTAAGCAGAAAGAAGGAACATGTTTAGACAAGTCCTGGGAGTGGTCAGGGAGCAGGTATGAACTTCTGTTGATAAATTCCTAGCATTTGGTAGCAAATAAGACTGGAGAAGGTGTTTCGATGATCAAGAAATTAGGAGACTCCACACCTAAGAGCTGTGTGAATATGAATGAAATATCAAGGAAACTTCATTGCACAAAGTGGGGTAGAAAGCACTGCGCAAAAGAGTGTGAGGATACCTGAAACCCAAGGCAAGGGGGACTAGTAGGTTTGCTTAAGTTTAATGCTCACAGAAAAATGACTGGAAAGATGTAAGTACATATTGAATTGGACACAGTTTTTGGGTTTTTTAAGATTTATTTTTATTTATTAATGCATACAAGAACCGGGGTGTAGGTCAGAGGTACAGGGCAAGAGGGTAAGAGGATTCACTGGAGAACAAAATGAGGAGCAGACAGGAGGGCTGACTGAAATACACTGCTGAGGGGAGCAGTGGGCAAGAGAGTGGAGGTCAGCTAGCTCCCTGGCCTGGGGGTGGAATTCATGCCACAATGGGTGGGGCTAGCTTGGTAGCACTGAGACTTAAATTAACCCTTGCACCAGCAAGGAGGCCCAGTTTTTGTATTTTTGATAGTATATTTCTAGGATTTAGAATTGGAAAAGTCTTTACAGGTTGTAATTTCCAAAGATGACATTGTAGATTTCAACTTGGATACCAGTAGTGATTAGCTGTGTTGAGAGCAGTATAATGGGAAGGTTTCTGGAGATGTTCTCAGATTATGAACAAAAGGATGCCCTGAATGATTTGTGATGTCAACGTGGGTTAGGCAACAGGGTGTGGTAACATTCATCTTATATATGTCATCCCCGACGTGCACTCCCTTTGCAGACAGGAAAACTAATAATCTGAGATGTAGCATTCAGTCCTGCATACTGGACTCATGACTCATAATGCTGTCCTTGCCTCACTCAGTGTTATTAAATGTCCATTGAAGATTAATAACCATCAATTTCAGGTAGCTTTAGGAATATTAAGTAAGTATTTTCTTTTTCAGTGCCACTGCACAATTAGTTTGGTAAATACCAAACAATTCACCACATGAAAATAGTAGAGTATGAAGTTCTTAGCAATAAATACCATGTTCATAAAATACCACTTTCTATTTCTATATACTTCTATGAAGCCCAGAACTGTAACACACACAAACACCCCAAAAATAGTATCAGACACAGATATTTTTTGACCTGTAGAAATGACTGACATAGAATTCCCTAAAGGTAAAAGACAACTCCGCCAAGAAAATATATAATAATACACTGGCAGTATAATGGTCAAGAGCAAGACCTGGAGCTTTTTGAATTATCATTTATCTACATACTATTTATTTAATATTTAACAGTATTTAAAATTATTTACTTTTTTTTTTTTAATCCTGGGAAAGTCACTTAATTGTTTTGTATTAGTCTAAGGTACAATGGGAACATCAGCACTTATTTCGGAAGTGTCAGCGTTGGAGGAAATAGCCGATGGAAGTCTTACACAGCGCTGGCAGCTGGCATACAGTGATGGCTGTGCAAGGTTGGCCAATGAATGTAATTATGACAATGTACTGCCTTTTCTAAATAAAGCCTTTCCCAGCACCCTCTTTCTAATCAAAAACAGCTGGTTATCCTTTCTTCGAATCTATCACTCTTTCTTACAAAATCTGTCACCCCAGATAATCATTATTTCACTATATGCTCAGGTCCCCTACCAGGCCGGTCATTTTCACTCTTTAATGTGACACTAGTTTTACATGGTGATCCAGTACATAAGTACATACATATTTGAAACACGAGTTCAGAAAACAATACTTACTTGTACTATGTGTATTACAGTGACACTTAATTTTGTAAAATTATGTTGGAACTTGGGCCCTCCCTGGTGGCGCAGTGGGTTAAAGCACAGCACTGAGAATCTAAAGCCGCTTCCGCATGAGTTCGATCCCCACCTGCCCCGGAGGTGACCACATGGCTCGGCAGACCTCTCCTGACCCGCCCACTGCTCCCCTCAGCAGTGTGCTTCCTCGATCTGCCTGTTCTGTTCCCCACTCTGTCTCTGGTGAAGCCTCTCACCGCCCCTGAGCCTCTGGTCTGTACCCCAGTTCTGTATGCACGAATAAATAAATCTTTAAAAAAAAAAAATTATGTTGGAACCAGGGGATGGAGATGTGTGGATTTTCCTTTTTTTTAAGACTAATTTTATTTATGCATACACGAGATGGGGTATAGGTTAGGAGTGGGGAGGGTTAGAAACAGAGTGGGCAGATTAACTGAAACACACTGCTGAGGGGAGAAGCGGAAAAAACTGAGAGGTCTGCTGCACCACGTGGGTCAGCTCCCTGGCTGGGGGCCAAACTTGTGCTGCAGTGGGTGGCACTAACTTGAAAGTACTGAGACTTAACTCCTTACACCACCAGAGAGGCCCTGATATGTGGATTTTCAAAACTGACCAAATGTACATTAACGATTCAAGTATTTAGTATATATAAATTTTACATAAGAAGAAACTAATACTCTAGTTAATGATAGACATGTTGAAGTATATGGGGGAAGTGTACTGATGTCACTATAATTTATTTTAAAATGCAGTAAGAAAATCATTCATGATGGATAGACAAATAATTAGACATATGACTAAGTATAATAAAATGTTAGTGGTAGAATCTAAATAGTGAGTATACAGGAAGTCACTGTGAAATTTCTTAAAACTTGCAGTATCTTTGAAGTATATTGCCATAACAACATGATGAGGAAAAATGGTGGTTGTGATTCACTAGTTATTTTT